CCAGTGCTGTGTGCAAAAGTCTGGGCAGTAACAGAATGAGCAAAGGAGAGGCGTGTATTAAAGAATATGCGGACTGGTTGATCTTGCAGAGCGAAAGGCCGGTCAACTGCGGAGGGTCTATACGAGGCCAGAACCACTGTGAGCTGGTGAGCAGGACAAATGCGGGTGGTGACAGCATGCACATGTGTCTACAGGACAGTCTTTTTGTCCTTGCTCAATGCAAGCAGCACCATTACTGGACTGTTTTGACTGGCCGTTTGACGCGAGCATCGCTTGGCCCGACCAAGGGTCTGCAGATCTCATTCCCGCATTCTGACAGCTCCGTCTGTCAAGGACATTTCGTGAAAGTCAACGGGCAGAATTCCTCAAAACTGGTGCGGAAACCGTTGAAATCAGCAACCCAGCCAACACGCATGACGCCCGTATTTTTGATCATTGAACCATCAGGATACAAAGCAAGGGCGGCTTGTCTTTCCTCAGAATCATCCATCAGAATTTTGCTTCGACAACGATGGCGACAGCGGATTGTGGAAAACGGTAATGTAATTTCAGGCGGATTGGAAATCAAAAAGAAAAAACCTTTTTTGAAACCAATTCCGTTGGAATTCGCCTGGGGCAAGTTGCGTAATACACTCTGATGTTGTTGCTGGTTGGCTGGGTGTTATTGTACTTCTTACATGTTATTGTGGCCAGCTGTCCTTTACAATGATAAAAATAAAAATCCGTCCGCCCTCACCATTTTTTCGGAACAAACGGTGGTCATGAAGTATATTCTTTGGCTTGGCCTAAACATTCAAACGGGATAACGACCTACATGCAATAAGATGGTGGCGAAGGGTTGCACAAAATACCGCTACATGATAATTGACGAACTGTACTACGGTACAGGGAGTCAGGTAGGGAGAACAGAACAACCTGCAGTAAGTCGAGCTACTCCCTACAGAATGTTTTAACATCTTCCTTTTATTTTTTCATTCAGCCCCGGCACATTTGGGCTGTCCACCTTCTCCCTGAAAAAATAAATTAACGAGAGAGCTCGGAAGCTCAGGGCCCTACGCTATGCTTTGTTGCCTAGCTCATCGTGCATGTTGTTAGAACTGTTTGATTAGCTACATCATTGTATTGCAAGAACGTTTCAATGAGTTACTGAAGTAACGTCTTCTGCATAGCTACGGGACCGGCGCTGACTCTGCCGATCACGGGCGTTCTGGAGTAGACGGGATCTCTCTTCCGACGTTTCCTGTGACCGGCGCTGACTCGCCCGTTCACGCTTATTTTGGAGACGACGGGATCTCTCTTCCAAAGTATGTTTTTGCTGACGCATCCTATCACCTATTCGGCAACTAACGTCCATTCTAATTGCATTTCCTCCTCGTCTCCTTATTTCTTTCCAGAAAATCTCCCTTTACATCAGGGAGTCGTATACATACCGGTATGACGAATATTGTGGCCAGCTGTTTGTGGCCAGCTGTGCTTGATGGTACGGTACGGTACAGTATGAGGCAGATACGAGAGCCAGCAACTATATATTGTCACCAGCTGTGTTTGATGGTATGGTACGGGAGAGATACGGGATAGAGCCAGCGTGACACAAACAAACAAACAAACAAACAAACACCAACTTAAAGCTGTGTGGACCCTGGCTAGCGCCAGACGTTACTGAAGTAACGTCTTCTGCATAGCTGCGGGAAAAAAATACAGAAATATACAAATCAGCCACGTGGAGACAATAATTTAATGATAGCAATGAATAATACTACCGGTAGTTCCGCGGTCATGCCACACAACAAAGAAGTCTAAAAAGAGGTTTACCAAAATCGATTTTCTTGTCACTCTCATCTGTGGATTTTCGTGACTGAAGAATAATAGTGTACAGCAGAGCAATAAATGATTATTGGAATGATACAATTATACAAAAAAGTGCTAAAAAATGGCCGGGAACAACGAGGTGAGATAATAATAATTATTATGAGCCATATACAGAACAGAACAACGAGGCTGTTGCCTGATGATTGCGAGAGCATGAAACTTCAAGTCGCAGCAAACAAGCCTTGATTGTCCTTGTTGTTCTGTTCTGTATTGCGCTCTGCCTCCGCCATGGTGTTGAGCACTGTCAGTACACTGGGTACACCCTCTGGTGAGCCATATACACAAAAATAGACAATGTGTGAACTTACGAACACTACATGCTTCTTTTTTCCTACACAGAACTGGCTTATACAGACGAATACACACAGCTTCAAGCACCTGGAATTGTCGAGTATATCGTGCGCGACAAAGTACAGGGAAACATGAATCATAATCATAATAAAATTATACTTCTAAACGCTTAAGGTGTGACAAAAAAGGAAGATACACAGCAGGCGTCTGACTATCACCATCTTCATCTAGCTCCTCTCTTTTGAGATTCTTTGTTGTGTGGCATGACCGCGGAACTAATAATTATTCATTGCTATCAAAAATACAGAAAATACAAAAAGTGTCAAATACCTTAATACATGGCTGGAAAAGCAATGAGAGAATACACGTAGGCGTATGGTTGGTCCTACAAAGCATTTCCAAGGCCGTGTCAACAGTAGAATTGCCTGCCGGTCCAGCGTCCAATGTCCTGGGAAATTCCGAACAGACCCCACCCTGCAAGACTTGAAGAGCATTCCGAACAGTCCCTACGAGGTGATTTGTAATAATTTTACATGAAAGTAAAAAAGTTATCATTCCGGTGCCCTGTCGAGTTTTGAAGTGTGCATGGTCTCATTCTGTCACTATGTATATCCTCTATCCACGTATGTACTTCTTGATCGAACACCACAAACATGAGAGACACAGTGTGGGGTTGCTTTGCATGCATTTTTCACCCAGAAAAAGTGTGTACAAAATTTTACAAGGCAGTAAAATAGGGTCTAACATCAACAAATATGACCTAAACGTGTCAATAAGCTTGCAATGGGAAATCAAGATACATCTGAATCAAGTCACATGCAGAGAAAGCAGACTGGTTTTGGAGGTTGCCCAACGTATTGGTTTCTGTATGTCGTCAACTGCGGTTCAAAACGGTAGGGTATCTTTGACCGCCTGCCGGCATTGTAGAATGAGCACGCAGACCTTATCTTGCTGCTCCATTTCTTTCAACTTGCAGTGCATCCTCATGCGTGAAATAACCACACTAAGCAAAGATACCATCCATGATGCGCGCCAGCCGTCCCACGACAGGGTGCCTTCGTGCATCTGGGCCACAGTGCATTTAACCGGCACATACTGACAATGTTGGGGCTTCAATACTCTCCAAGACAAGTGCAGTGACTCCTTCACCTAATGCGTTTACTTCTGTGTTGGAAGAAGACTGCAGACCACCCTCAATGGGTGCTCCGCCGTCAACACCCAACATACATTCATGCCGCATTTCCTGCATTTGCACTTTGCCATCGTGAATCTCTACCAGCACTTCTGAGCTAGCAAGCTGAGTTTCATACGTAGATCTACTGAACAGCTAATTATTTACCTGTATGCCATAAGCATCAGCAGCTTCGGATTTGAATCACCTTTCACGATAGGTGAGTGAAAGACACTTTTTGTCAAAATTGCAGTTTCTGACCTTCACCTTTTTGGCTAATCTCTTCTTCAGCCATGCTACTTTGACGGTGTGACAGACTCAATGCTGGCATCGGTGAACAGCCTAGGGTTTCCACCTGCCGTAGAATATGCTCGCTGGCTCTTGGCCGTCCTTCAAGCATCCATTGAGGGATATTTACCTCATTTACCACAAATTCACGAATTTCGATCCATGATTGATATCTCACAAGGCCGTGGGAGAATCAATTCCGCTAAACGCTCATGATGCTTACAAACTACAATACAATGGCAACTCACTTGTCTTTCGAACTAACAAAACACTTCATGGGAAGAATGCAATCGCCCTCAACAATGATATTTTACTCGATTTGTAAAATAATATGCCATGTACATTTGTTACAAATCACCTCGTACCCTGCAAGACGTGTTGGGCTTACCGAACTGTCCCTACTCTGCAAGACGTGTTGGGCTTTCCGAACTGTCCCTACTCTGCAAGACGTGTTGGGCTTTCCGAACAGACCCTACCTACCCTGCAAGACGTGTAGGGCATTCCAACGGGAGTAATCAACGTACAAGTACATGTTTGCAATGAGCTCATGTCGAATTGAACTGCGGCTGCTGAAGTACTAGCTACAGTATGCGGATGAACACAGTCGTACTTTCGCGTATTCTGTTAGACTCGCTTGAGTTGAGAGGTTTCGCGGTATGATTTTTCCACTTGCACTTCGAAATCTGACATTGGAAATCGATTGAAGGGTATGTCCAACTGGCTTATGAATTCGTCCGTTCGCACACCACATCCGAGGAGACGTTTCTTGGTACACCAACATGACAGCGAGCGAAAAGTTGCCTTACGGGCGGAATATCACCCAAAGCCCGCACTCACACGAATGTCACACTGTGACATGCATAGATGATTTGCTTGACCATAGTTGACCTTCCTCATTGCCAAACAATTTCATCCGGGCCAACTACTTAGCTCCAGCCGATTTCGAAATGCGTGACTGTCACGAGGCAATACAGGGAAGAAGTCGCGCAATGCCAACCGACGGATACCCTGCTACAATCATCCAGTCAGCTCGTGCACATCATTGTCAAAACCTCCTCGCGTGACATTATTCTGATCGTTCAGTTCTATTCTATCTTTAGGTATGGTTTATCGCTCTCGGTGGCCGGTCGACAGTTGTAACAGGTTGTGGCAGTAATCAGCAATGCAGCGACTCGAGTCGTGAAGCCCCCGCAGCACGTCAAAGTCACACACAGGCTCGCGGAGCGTAGGAAACTCGTAAACGAGTTATGCTGGTAACAAAACGCCTTGACACGCATTCACGGACATCACCGGCTCATCCCCTACTGTTCGTACCTGTGCGCCCAGCCAACGCGCAACACCACACTCCGGTGCATGGGTGAATCCACGATGCCCGAGCTTCCGAACGCAACTCTCATTACTCCGGCTATAGTTCGGCGAAAGGACTTCATATCTCACCACTTGCTTCGAGTTCCTGTTGTACTTCTTGTCGCCGGTTCAGAGGAGTTCTCTTTCACCCTCCCTCCCTTTCTCTCTCTCTCTAGGGCACTCATTCCGCAGTTGCTAGTGGCATCGCAGAATGGAGCTATGGAAGAAGAATCTACCGACCCTTCTTTGCGGCGTGTTGCTGGTGATGATGATGACAGCGCTTACCTCGGAAGCTCGGGATCAAAAAGGTAAACGACGTTGTCAACCCGTCGCTGACTAGAACAATTGTTGTAGAGTTGTCTCACGGCTGATTGGTTTGATCCGAGACGCCCATTCTCTTAATGGTCTGTCGTAGCCAGGGCCATATTGTTAGTGTACGTGTCCCTGATACCTTTGTCATTTCTCTGATCAATAGCTAGCGTCCCGGGGCAGGCCAACTAGCGTTCACATACAACATGTGTTGGGTGAGACGAGGACAACTTTCAAACAAAGACCCATGGCGCCTGCCCATCTGCGTGCTGTTACTCGCCATTCTAAATAGTTGCCATCTGCCACTCTACCGGGTTTGGCCACTGCAAGACCCAGTCGAACTGTGTGAAAATTGTTACAATTGCGAGGTGTGAAGAATGTACAAGAGCCCATGTTTACTCGCGCTGAGATCTGCGCCATTGTCTTTTCGCCATGGCCCATGGTGTCTGGTTCCAGGAGGTGTGAAATTGCTTGGCGCCAGGGCCTGCGCTCTCTATATGGTAGGTGTCGCCTTGCGTTTTTTTTTCAAGCAGCGTAAGGCACCTGGCGGACGATGATTAGATCTGTGATGTGGTTGGCTGCCTGCGATATGGCAGATGCGCAAAAGAAAAAAGATGGTGTCCGCCAACAGGAGCTCTTCATACCGTACTTGGGCTCTCTCGTCTAAGCATTCCAAGGACCATGACTCCTACATGTGTGAGGTTTTCAACGCCGTATGGGGCTTGGTGATGACTGTACGCGCGCTTTTCTCTGGCGGAAAGATTAGGGCGTGTAGCTCCATCCTAAAACCTTTCTCTCCTATTTCGGCGACAGCTTGGTACATGTACAGGATGACTGCATAATCACCAGGCAATCGAACAAGCGCATTAGCACGCTCAACGGTTACGTGCCCGGCAAGCTTTGTCGAGTTGTTGCGCAAGGAAACGCTTGCGGCGCAGCTACGCAAGTACGTGCCCGCGTCGCGAACGCGGCCCCAACGATAGTTATGGCTGCCCGATCATTTGTAGGCGCACCACTACACTATTTTGGCTGACCTAAGCATCTCGGCCGTTACTAGTACTACTAGTACTGGTATACCGGTAGCCGCTACAATACTTCCAAGGATTGGTGGCCGTGGCTGCAAGGAAACACATTCGCTGCTATCCCGTAGACCTGGTGTCATGCACCCCACGCAGCTCACTGTTCACGGCAGACAGGAGACAGATGGTTGCTGACAGGCAACCTGTGTGAGTCACCTAACCATACACCACGATCGGGCAGGCAAGTCGACTTGCGAGACCGCAAAGCTTTACGAGCAGTGGTGGTGTGATTAATTTTTCTCTTAGCTCACGCACCTATTCACCGCTCACTCACACGCTATGGAAGAGGTGGACGAAGGGAGGGGGGGGGGGGGAGTGCAACGCTTACGCTAAATTGCTAGCCGCAAGGATATCGCTGGTACGTAGTGGTACAATGTGGTTCAGCGAGGATACAATAATACAATGTGTTGAGGAGGTACCTAACAAAACGTATTGATGTGCATGATTGTCATGTAGATCTACATTGCTTATGCTTTGCTTGTGTGTGTGTGTTGGGGGGGGGGGGGGGGTAGTGTTGTGTGGTACATGTACATTATTCTGTGCTTGAGGCAACGTGGTAATGACACGCACCGCACACACACACATACACACACACACACACACACACACACACACACACACACACACACACACACACACACACACACACACACACACACACACACACACATGTGTGTATAGCACTGTGGAGGAAGCACGTATTCTTGTGTTCAAGCAACTGACAGTGAAACGTGACTGGTGCATGCAGCACATGCACGCTGTCCAGTCATTGTTTTTGACAGCACGAAAAAGATAGAATCCCTGTCAGGCCCTGGCTGCTTACAAGTTACATGTCAACGTGTCCTTGTCCTCTCCATCATGTTGTAGCACATCGCCTGTCATGTCACATTGTGAATCCGAATGTGCCCTGTGGCCTGCGCGCAGAGCCCGTCAGGATCGCCAGTCATGTACAAGACTGGCCAGAAAAATCCAACCTCATGAATAACGTAGTTCCCAGTCGGAGTGCTCAGACCAGTGCTCAGACCAGTGCTCAGACCAGTGCCCAGACCAGTGTACGTGTGTGTACGTGTGTGTATTGCTAGTCGGAGTGCTCAGACCAGTGTACGTGTGTGTAAGTGTGTGTATTGCTTGTCGGAGTGCCCAGACCAGTGTACGTGTGTGTATTGCTAGGGCTGCGAAGCCGCGGGCGCTATTTTATTCATGAGGTTGGATTTCTTCGGCCAGTACTGTGCATGTACAGCGTGATTGTACAGAGCTAGAGGAGGTACATGTATACAATGGTGTAGTGTAGTCAGTAGTACCATGCAGTTTAGCCTGCTACTGACTACTCAGTACTAGTACTAGTGCTGGTGCTAGACTAACAGAGACTAGACTAACAGAGACTAGACTAGACTAGAGAGCGCTGAATACATGTGATGGGCAGAGCCGAATACTGTACACAAGAAGTACTAGTACCACACAAACTGACAAAGGAAAGCAAGGGATGTGTGTTACGGTGACTCGGCGAGTTGCATGGTTTAATTAACTGACCCACAATCATCAGGCAACAGGCAAGGAGCTTGGAAGCAGCGACTGTACTGATGCCGCGCGTGTTGTAGGCACATGACTACATTTGTATATGTACATGTAGATTGTGATGAATCCGGCATCCTGACCTTCAGGGAGTGATAAAACTGTGTAAAGGTGTGGATTTCGCGAATGGGATTTTCGTTCTTTGACCACTTTGCTGGTGGGCTGGTCTACTCACCTCCCATTGCTGTAGGAGCTACATTGTACATGTGGATCTGCGTCTTTGAGCTTTGTGCAGGGTGGGGACGTTGCTACGGATGCTGAAAGTTCAGTATAACTGAGTCTCAAGAGAACCGTGAAATCTTTTTTTAGGGACCGGTAGACCGCGGCAAAACATCTTGACAAGCATATCCAAGCTAAGAGTTGCGATTTTCAGGAGAGGTTTTGAACACTAATTCGGACAAAAGTGGGTTTTCAAAATCCAGTGGGGACTGTATTGGATGAAAGGGCTTGATGAGCGGTCAATTTCTAGCCACATATTATCAGTCACGGGATATGGATGCAATGGATAGGCTATACACATGTACATGCCTTGGATCTAGGCTTCCTAGCCGAGTTTTAGCCGTGGGTGTTTGACCTTCAATGCATCCGTATCGTGCAGATTTCTGGTACTGATTGGGCCTGAATGCCTGTTTCAGAGCCTCCAGCGTTTTGATGCACTCATTTTCCTGGCCAAAGCATGACAGCTGGCTCTGAGACGCGAGCTGTAGGTGTCAGATCGTGCAAAGATGCGATGCCATTTCCCAGGATATGTTGACATTATGAGCACATCCAGTCTCAGAGAAGACGTAACTCGAATCTCGTGCAAGGTCACTTGCGGGTAGGCAGCTGTCAAGGCCAGAATTTGTTTACTAATTCATGACAACCGAGCATTCACAGTCAGCCTGTTGTTGGCCTGCAACGGGTAAACCTCAAGCCACTCTCTGCACTAAAGACAAGTGACTTGTGCAAAGGGGATCCCTCATCACAATCTTTTTCTGTCCGATTGATTGGCGGGTAACATTATTATGCATGGTGGCATTTGCGTCAACTCTACTACCCCCTTGGACGACAGAAGAGCGAAGACCAATGGCACTGGAAACTGCATGTTCCAGAAACCCATGACTGAGACCTTGCAATCCCGTGCGAGGATCGCAACAGTATCCGTTGTTTAACAGGTATACACTGACGAAGGGGATGTACCAATTTTACATATTAATGTTTATGACCGTATTGTAATTTTCGTATCACACCGAAGTTTTCAACTTGAATTTGTCAAACATCTTCGCTAGCACGGGGGGGGGGGGGGGCTGCCGGCAACACCTCTAGGGCCTTCGCCGAGGTCCAGTCTCGTGCTCACTTTCGAGGACAGCCAAGCAATGGGCACATAATACTTGGACCCCCATCCTTCCGTGGTTGCACATGGTGCATTCGTACATTTAGAGAGGTGAGGTGTCAGGAGTCCCTGTGCGGAAAGGCTACAAAACGAATACTGCATAATACTGCAGCCATCCGGGACCTGACTCCTGAAGTAGCCGGTCGCACAAGGCAGGTTGAATCACACGAGTGTGGTCGCTCAAACAGGTTTTACTGGTGACTTGTGCTCATGTCAGCACGTACACGTATGCATTGTACTAACGTCCGCAAAATGACGTACACGTACACGTATATGAAAATGGAATACCACGAGTGTTTTGTTTGTGTTTTTTTCTTCTAATTTTATGAAAGTGCACGTGCCTACATAGAATGGTAGAGAACCACAACATTTTCAACAATAACATCAAGAGAACATAGGGGACTACAAAGGGTGTGTAGGTGCTATTGAGCTGTGCCGGTGAGGTGAAGTGCGCTCACCCGCCCAATGCCAATGGTCTTGGGACCAAGGTGTGGTAGGAACGTAGGTATACTTCGGAGCTGGCAAGCATGGCACATTGGCACTGTAGAGTGCGAGCTAGCGCAGTCAGTAGCAGGATTGTCTTGCACAACTCACCCAGTCTGCTAGGTTCCGGCTCACTTACCACTACACACTGCACTGGCTGACAAAAGCAAACTTAAAAGGCGACGGGTTGACGCGACTCTGGAACCTACGGCAATCAAAAAGCTGCCAACTGTCTTCTGAAGACCAGCTTGACGAGAACCACACGTCCAGGACCTGCTGTTGATTATGGCGTGATGGACGGCTTGACCCCAGTGCCTGTGGGTGACTGTCTCCTGATGAGTACCGGTTGGAGGCTGCAGTCATTAATATACCGTGCGAACACATGGCCAGGGTCTGGGACCAGTCCTGTCTAGAGTTCACTAACTAACGGGCTGCCATGCTTCATGCCATGCACACCAGGCAACACCGCTTCAGTCAGTCTACCTTGTATTAT